GGGCTCACCGGTACGCAGTAAAGGCACTTCTGATTTTTACACATGTGGTACCAGCACTTCTTACTGAGTAGCCTACCGGCAAGTTGACTAAACAATTAAAATTGCTTGGAACCGCTTGACACATAGTTTTAGCAAAGTAACACATTCTTGAGTAGAGGAAAACAAAAAAAAGTACGTTTCACCAACTCAAAAAATGCAAAAGTTGACTAAACTCCTAAAATTGCTTGGAATCACTTGACACATATTTTTTAAGTTTTAGCAAAGCAACACATTCTTGAGTAGGCCTACAGGAAAACAAAAAAAAAGTACGTTTCACCAACTCAAAAAATGCAAAAGTTGATTAAACTCTTAAAATTGCTTGGAATCACTTGACACATATTTTTTAAGTTTTACCAAAGCAACAGTTTTTACAGTGAAATTTGGGAGTGAGAACGTGTTGTGTTGAGAGAAGTATCCATAGATCTCTTCATTTTGCTCTCAAAGTGCACCAGATTGATGCATTTAACTTCAATATTTAAAAATAAATCTTCCCGGGGGAGCTTGCCCCCGGACCCGAGGTCCACACATCACCTATAAAAATAGCACTTTACCCCTGCTTACACCTATATGCCGTGAGCTGATTATCGAGCCTTCATTGTAACAGTCGCGGGTACACTGTGTATTTGCGTGGGGATTGTTGCAGTAGAAAATTCCACTGTAGCGACCGGTACATTAATGGGAAACCCTAAATGTTTGAGCACCCTCTATGAAACGTCAAGCTACCCCACAGCACCCCCAAAATAAATCTCTGGCGCCGCCACTGAGCCTGACTTGTGTTGGGGGGGCCCGACTTTTTTTTTTTATCCAAAGGAGGGGCCTGTCAAAAAAAGTTTGGGAACCACTGGTTTACTAGATTCAAAGTTTGCTCTCGACCAAAAACATGTCACTACAAAGGGAGTCATCAGACAAAACACGCAGGCAAAAAAAAAGAAAGAAAAGACAATTACTAAAACTGAGTGTGACAACCTGTGTGAGACGTCGCACTTTTCCTTTTTTTTGCACTAAAGACTGATCTCAGTCTCATATGCCCAAATCAGAATCAGAAATCCTTTATTTGTCCTGCAACAGGGACATTTACATTACAACAGCAGATAGTGCAGGTAAAGTGAGGGTAAATAATTGGTTAACCACATGTTATTAATAACACAAGTAAAAAAAAAAAAGTATCAGGATATTTGCTTTTAAGAAAAGTTACCATATTCAATTAGTAGCTAGCTGGTACTGTATGCCAATTGTAAATACACTGAGAGAAAGAAAAAAAAATACAAATAATTTAGATTTAAAAACCACATTACTTTACGAATCTTTGTATATTTCTGTCATTATGCATACAGATTTTAGTTTAGGTTGTGAATATTTCATCATACAAAAGCACACAATTGTTATACTGAACTCCAACAACATTCATGAGGAAACAGAGCAGAAAGAACTGGAGGAGAAAAAGATGGAGGGAGGACGGATTCCAGTCACATTCCAGCTGGCGTTGCTGTGTTCGGGAATTTAAGATATTTCAGTACGTATTTATGAAGCGCACACAGGCTGTGTTGTTGTTTAATGGGGGCTTTATTTGCATCCATTTTCAACAAAACCCTTTTCAGTCCTGCAGCAAATAGACACGTCCTATCTCTCTCTGCTGCTATCAGCTATGGCCAAATTGGGCCACAGTGTTTTTAACATCCGGACCAAGTTTTATTAAAGATCTGGTTGGAATAGAATTCTCTAAACACTCTATACTTTGTAGTTTTGCCTGTTCAGATGTAAAGAACAAAATCAGTGGCCAACTGGATTAATTGATTTCAGGGCTTGACAGTAACGGTTGCCAGGTTGCCATTGGCAACCATTCAGAAAAAATGTCAACCACTTCTTGGCCTTTGGTTGCCATCAAAGGCAACCACTTTTTAACATGAAGAAATAAGGACCGCAAACAGCTAAATGTGCACCCCAAAATAGATAAATGTTAATTATTTGTTGTATTAAGATTGATATTTAATTATTGTTGTGACCAGTCGGAACCTGATACTTAAAGGAGACCTATCATGCTATATATAAATGATATAGTGTATGACCATACCTATATAAGGTATATTTATACATTTTATTTTTCAAAATACCAAACAGATCATTTTTTAGCCATGCCTCGTTTCGCTCATTTTCGCTCTATTCCAAGCCTGTCTTTGAAAATTCTGAGCAGCAGCTGACCACGCCCCCCTGCAGAAGAGGGGGGCATGAGCCGGCGAGAGTCACGTTAACATGTTTGCTGTGATTACGAGTGTGGAATAAACATGTCATCTCAGAGCAATGCATGTGTTCAAGCATATTATCAATTTGATCCAGAAACTGACCCTGAAGCAGCGGAGGTTTTGGTGGAGGTGCAAACATCTCGGTTGCAGCAGGATGTTTCTGAATGGTTAGTTGACAAGCTGTTGTCCCTATTTATTTTACTCTGTTTGTTACGATGCTTGCTACTTATTCCGTTCATATTTTGGCTAATTAGCAAGAATGCAATGTGTACAGTTTGTAACTTAGAGTTTGACCCAGCAATAAGTCTCT